CGGTAGATCCGATCGGTACGGCCGACGAGTTAAAACTGAGGGACCCGCCGACTTCCTTCCCTTCTCGTCGTCGTTGTGGTTTGCGCTTACCGTCGCTTGCGCCGCTGCGGAGGAACGTATAGTCCGTAGACTCTGTTGAGTGGAGTGGAGGACGATGAGGAGGAATACTCGCGGACTCGAGTCACCGGCAGCAAACGCGAACGCTCTTTTTCCAAGGAGCGTATCAAGCCACCAAATAATCTCCTATTTTCAATTACAAACAAATCTAATAAATATCTACTTCAAATCATAGTTACCAACGTCTCCTTTCTTAATTTACTTTACGTTTAACCTTACGCGTTTATGACGGTATCGATCTATTTCAGCCGCCATTTTGAATATCTCGAAATATTATTTTACATTTTCAATTTGCGACTAAATTATTAATTGATTTTATTTCAACATTTTAATATTTTATCTCTTTAGTTTTTTTTAGAAAATATATATTTATATTAGATATTTTATATTATAAAAATAAATATTACGATAAAGGTGTATTCGTTAGTTCCATGAGGTATAATCGTATTCTACAAACTTAAGATATGGATATCGCGTTATTAAAGTATACGAGATTATCGAACGAAAGAAAATATGTAGAGATAGATATGTATATGATTATTCTTTGGATATTTATTTCTTCTTCGAGCTGAGTTAACTATATGTATTTCATTTCATAGGACCTAAAGTTCTTTGCCGTCTTCGTCCAGAGAGAAAAAAGAGTGCGTTGATTTAACGTAACGTCATTGAAAGTACAGTGACTCAAAGTGGAACAATAGTATATGTTCTACGATGATGATCCGATCATATCATGACGTAATCTAGCCTTCTTGCTGATACGGACAGAAAGAGAGAGAGAGAGAGAGAGAGAGAGTTTCATCTTATCGCTACGATATTAAATTCAAACCTACGGATTGTTTGACGTTGAAAAAAAGAATGAANGTTGTGTTGAAACAGGATTGTCTTCTTGGTAATAGCTACAGCACTGTCGATAGGCTGCGCTCGCGCGATGTGAGGTCGCTGCATAAGCGTACAAAAAAATAAGAAAACAGAAAAACGATTAATCGAAATCAAAGAGAACTTCTTATCGAAAATTTGTAACATTTTAGTGTTGTGTTGAAACAGGATTGTCTTCTTGGTAATAGCTACAGCACTGTCGATAGGCTGCGCTCGCGCGATGTGAGGTCGCTGCATAAGCGTACAAATACATATATATACATACACACATAAACACACACATATAATATACATGCGATCTCGTAAGTGCTCGTACACATACACACACACGATGAAACCTAGCGATGAGTCACCACGAGTCGTTCGTTACACGTCGCATATACTCCGTTGTGTCGCACAGGGTTTCCCCTCTTTTTTTTTTTTTTCTATAATAATTATTTCTTTATATATATATATATGCATATTAAAATAATAATTTTTTTATAATAATCGATGACAAAGTTCACGATTAAAAAAAAAAAAAAAACCAATATGAATATATCGTTATGAGGTAATAACTCGTGTTTACTTATATAAAAGCGAACAGGTAATAATAATCTATCGATAGATCGAACGCGTGAAAAGTTGGTCATTGATAATGATGAAGAGGTAGAAACAAGTATAATAATGATTATTATTTTACTCGTCGTTATCAAAATCAAGAATAATAGATAGAGATATATTCTAACTGACAATGAGTGAATATGTACTTACTTATACGGTGTATATGTAAGTATACATACATATATATATATATATATATATATATATGTAAGTATATACACTTCGTTTTCTTAAAGTAGAAAGTATACGACGTGCTCAGCAAGATACAAGAAAAACTTTCTTCCATGCTATCTTTGAGTGCAATCTTTGGCATTAAACATTTAATACATACCGAGAAAAACGTTTATACGAAAATGCACACTATTTTTCAAATGAATATTTCTTTCATTATTTATTTATTTATTTATTTATTTATTTATTTTACTTTTAAATTTTGTCTTATGACAAATGCGTGAACGACAAAGATTTCAAACGTATTCAATTCTTTTTTTATTTTTTTTTTATAATAATTTTAAACATGTCGAAAAGAAAATCATTTTTAAAAGAAGAAGAAAAAGAAGAAGCTAGGTCACTATTATTTTTTCAGCTGTTCTTAATATGTCGTCAACACGCATACGTTTTATTTTCTTAATTCGTTGATAATCTCTATTTAACGACGACGACAAAAAAAAAAAAGAAATTAAGAGAAAAATGAAAAAAAAAAAAATAATAAGCGTGCAATGTTCCTTATCCCGAAAGTTCCCTGAGAAATAATATAATATATATATATATATATATACACACACGTTTACTTACTTAATTCATTTGCATAATTCAAAAGGACTTCTTTTAAGAAGCAACCACATGACAAATACACACTCATATATGTATATGAATCCAATTAGTTATTTGATCGACTTTTAACCAAGCATCTGTCTGTACAATCGATAAGAAACGATACGATATTACTATTCTTTCTTTTTCTTTTAGAAATAATCCAATAAAAAAAAAAAAAAAAAATTGATAAAAGAGAAATCAAAAAACTAAATGAAAATAAATTAAATCATATTAAAATGTTCGCTTAATAATCGTCAAATTTTATCAACATAATTATGGTTAAATTTTGTAAGAAAAATGTTATCGTTTGATTGATAATAATCGACAACTATGACGATGATGACGATGACGATGACGATGACGTTTTGATTTGATGACAATAATTTTAAATAGAAAACTGAAGAATGGGTAAAGTTATGATAGGTGGACTGAAAGAAATAAGGGTGGGGGGAGATGTTTAGGGGTGGGTAGTTAATGTGTGTATGTGTGTGTGTGTGTGTGCCAGCGAACACGAGTTTTCGTGCGTGGTCATCTACTCTCTGTGGCCAAAGATAGACTCTGACATCATACACGCGAACATCGTTCGGCTCGAAGGAGCGATAAACAGAGGACCGCGAGCGCGCACAAACATACGACCTGTGTAGAAATGTATATGTGTGTGTGTGTGTGTGTATGAGTTAGTACACGAAAGGTTTATACCGCCTGTTAGAACTGTCTCAATTGACATCTTGCAATGCACCAACCGACGTAGCTGATCTTAACGATTTAGCGAGAATCATGTTAGTGTAAGAGCAAAGTATCGAAATGTTTCAAATGTAAGAAGAAAATGACGTGTCTAATGAAATTTCAAAAAAAAAATGGAACGAAGGGGAAATTATTTGAAAGAATATATATATATATATATATATCACTGTGTGTATGTATTTTAGAAAATGAAAAATTTGAACGAAATAAAAATAACATTCGAATTCTATTTAAAGAGAGAAAGAGAGAGAGAGAGAGAGAGAGAGAGAGAGTGAAAAAAAGACAAATTGAAAAGCTTTCGGAGGATGGTTGTATGTTTATGTCTGTTAATAGCTACGCGATCAGTGATCTAATTCGTTGATTCTGTAGAAAGTTTCCATCGCTTATCTAGAACTAATCTTACATTATTTTTTTCTTTCTTTCTTTCTTTCTTTCTTTCTTTCTTTCTTTCTTTCCGCAAAAGTAGGGAAAATTTTGCTTAGAAATGTTTATAATAAACACGATCAAATTGAAATATTCTTATTCCGTAGAAGAGATGAACGAATATACAATAAACAAAACGCATTGAAATTTTTTTCACGAAAAAGATATATTATGCATAATAATAATAATAATAATAATAATAATAATAATAATAATAATAATAATAATAATAATAATAAGAAGAAGAAGAAGAAGAAGAAGAAGATCNTAATAATAATAATAATAATAATAATAATAATAATAATAATAATAATAATAATAATAATAAGAAGAAGAAGAAGAAGAAGAAGAAGATCAATATTTGCAAATAGTATCATCACATTGCAATGAATTAGAAAAGATTCCAAATGTCAAGACTTTTATGGTAGGTATTTTTTCTTTTTTTTTTTTTTATTATTTCTTTTCTTTTTTTATTTCGTGTAGTATAGAGTCGCGATGATGATAACGAAGTATGTGAACCTTTAAAAGCGCATGCGCGTAAACACGTTTCATCGCATGTATGTACTAGCTTCGATCCAACGTTGCAAGGTTTGTCGATAAGAAAACTTATCGTAGCTATATCTGCGTAGAATGTGACGTGTGAATACGTACAAAAAAAAAAAAAAAAAAAAATCACCTACGAATGTTGTCTATTGCGTATCAAAATTCAAACTATATTTAGTCGATTAAGTCATTATTTCTTAGATATATATATATATATTATTTTTATAATTTAATTATCGCCTTCTTTTTTCATACGAACGTAACGAAAAAGAAAAGAAAAGAAAAGAAAAGGAAAAAGAAAAAAAAAAGAATATTATGTTCAATAAGTGTTAAATTAAACAATCGATCGTTCTCGTTCAACGTACGAGAGTAGTAATTCGATTAGTTCTTATTAGATATGAAACGTCAAATAGTCGATGATAATTCGCTTACTATTTACATACGTTTAAGTTTAAAATTAAAATTGTTATATTGAAAATGTAATCCATCGATTACGTATTCCTTGCATATTATGTTTCACGTGTTCAAATGAAATCATTGATCTAAACCTTATTTTTATTATCGACACTCGTATTTTTTCTTTTATTCGTGTATAAAACAAATAAATATGATATATAAAATCTCTGACATCATTTTAAATGAACTAAATAAATATATATATATTAAGTAATAAAAATGTATTCATTTATATTTAAATAAATAAAATAATCAATTTATATAATATAATAATAAATAAATTTCATATTTAAATATATTATATTATTATATATTATATTAAATAAATATATATTAAATATTAAATATATTATATATTTAAATATATTATATTAAATATATATATAAAAAAAAATAAGAAGAAAAATATGTTAAAAACTTACCGCCATGTCGAAATTTCTTAAATCTCGGTAAAGTGGCAGTAGTACAAGCACACGTAAGGGCTGGCATCTTGTTCTGGTCTTCACAGTCCACTAACGTAGTCGTTAACGTCCTAACGTTGGAACCTTCGGGCAATGTTTCCTCTTTAGGGACGGTTGCTCGTCGTTTGACTGTTCTTTCCTCGATGCCACTCACCTCTAATGCTAATGAACACATTCTTTGTTTATATTCTCAATCTTTCAATGTGTATATTCATATATTCTATGTTACAAACAACTATATATATATATATATATATATATAAATACGTATATCGATGACAATGTGAGATTCCGCGAGATTTCTTGGTATTCGTGTAAACGTTTACATGTTTATTATACGCACGAGCGTGTATGTGTACGTACGTATGTGTCATTAATCCGATAAATTGATTGCAAAATTTGACGTGACATCGTTTAATACGTATCCGTAGATAGTTACAACACTGAATGAGTAATTCTGATTCGGTAGTAGGAAATAAAGGGATAAGTCGATGAATCTTGATTCGATCAAGGTGGGGGAAAAAGTCACACGTGTGCTCCGATTGGCTCCGTTTGACTCGAAAGATTGACAGGTTGCTAATCGATTACGAAAACCTTTTTCATTTCGTATTTATTTCATCAAATATTCTTCTTTTTTCCTTTTTTCAAAACCTAAGCAATACTTTGTAATATTTTTGATCAAGTCGAGTCAGACGATTTGGATTGTAAATTATTTTGCAATAAATAAGTATGAGTAATAAGAATATATATATATATATATATATATATATATATATATGACAGGTGTAAAATAAATCGTTAACGAATATAAGTATGTTATCATAAATATCGCAAAAAAAAAAAAAAAATAAAAAGAAATCGTTGTATCTTTAAAAAAGAATTAAATAAGAATCCCTAATGAATAATTCATATTTTAATATAATCAATTCGTGATTTATATTTCGTATGTGCCAATGACGTTTTTATAAAGGTAAAAAAAATCGATAAAAAAATTATTTAAAATTGTGAGGTAAAAAAAGAAAAAAAGAAAAAAAGACAAAAAAAAGAATAGAACCAGGGTGACGAAAATATGTATGACGATGAAAAATAAGAGTCTTACTGTCTGACGATGAAAAATAAGAAGAGTCTTACTGTTAGACGATGGGGATGGTGGTGGTCTTTTGACGGATGGTCTTGCGAGAAGTAGTCCCGTCGATGGTTTACCAGTACGATGGTTCACTGTTGACTGGTGGTCGCTCGCATTGCGACCGCCAAGTGAAATCTTGGCGCTCATCCTCCACGAGATTCTCGATTCTTAAGATCCTGAGTCACGTACCGGGAAGTCGAAGACTTGTCGGAGGTCGCACGTTCTCGTACAACAGGGCCATGCCAATAGTAGTGGTAGTAGTAGTAGTAGTAGTAGTAATACTCGTTCAATGTTTCCTCTTATTTATTTATTTGTTTTTTCATCAACAGATAAAACACCACTAACCAATGATAATCATCTTTTTTATTCGAGATTCGATCACGTCAAAACGAATCAGCATATTTTGTTAAGATTAAGAAAGAAGGAAAAGAAAATATGTCACTTCCTGATTGATATAATTTCTCGTTTAATTTACTTCTTTTTATTCTTATTCTTTGGTTCATAAGTCTGTAAAAAAAAATATTAGAAAATTGACTTTATAAAGATTCGATATAAAATCTGCGAAAAAAAATTTATAAAATTTATCTTTACTGTAAATAAGTAATAATGTGTAATAATAATAATAATATGTATTAATATATTATAGTAATAGTAATAATATATTACTATACTCTAAATTATAATAGTAATATTATAGTAATAATAATAATACATATAAAGTAATACATATACATATAATCAAGATATATATAATAAATATAAATATAATATATATATATAGTAATAATAATAATAATATATTTTATAATATATTATAAAATATAATTTTATATATAAAATTATATATTATGTATATACTGTATAAAAGTATGTACAATATATACTGTAAAAAAGTAATAATAATATGTAATAATAATTTACTCTCTGTTAATAAAAGAATTAAACTTAAAGTTAATTCTGTTGAGAAAATTGAACGAAAGGGAAGAAAAGTTTGTGTCATTGGATGAATATATACCAGTATAGATATATTAACAAAACCGTATTGTGTATCGAGGTCGAGTTTATTCTCTGTAAGCCGTGTCTATAAAAACGAATAGGTAGTATGATTCTGTAGAGAAAATTAGTAACTGCCTACGTGTGTCTGATTCATGATTCCTTTGTTCATTCTCTGTGTCTCTCTGTGTCCTCTTCTTGTTATATCGGTCCACGGTGTTGTCAACAACGAACGATGACGAGTGATTATTTTTCTTCAAGTTAACGAACAAGTCGAAGGTCGTGTAAGAAAAGTGCATCAGCCGCCATGCGCATTTGCATGTACATTTTTACAGTGGTGGTTAGTTTGGTTGGTTATTCGCGTCATCGCCACCAATTCGATTCCCAAAATAGAGAGACACACTCCATTTTTTTATTCTCACCAACAGATTTCTGTATGTGTGAGAATTTGTGTATGATTTTTACAGATCTCTTATGATACATACGTTCGTTCTTATAAATCAAAATATATTAATCGATAAAGTTTGAATCATGATCGCATTGATCAAGTCTAAAGCGAAAAACCTTCGAGAGGGAACAGGAACTTGCGAACGACCACCGCCAAGGTAAACGAGACACGTAAGTATGTATATATATATATATATATGTATATTTCGGTTTCTTTGTCCCTAAAGGAATCCTTGCCACCGAGATGCCCTTCCGTAAAATTTAAATTAAAACAACGTTCTACGATTATTTCAAATTTATTCATTTTATTTCATTAACGTAACATTTTTGTTATTTAATTTATTTCTAAAATTATCTTTGTAGCGGAAAATTTATGAATCTTTTAAAAAAAAAAAAAAAAAAAAAAATTCTAAGTATACAAAAAATAAATTGAGAAAGAGAAAGATTATAAAGTGCATTATAAAGGAGTAAAAGAAAGAAAGAAAGAAAGAAAGAAAGGAAGGAAGAAAGAGAAAGAAAGAGAAACTCAGTTCTGTACGTTTAGAGTTGTCTCTTTCTCTTTCATCGTTCGTTCTCTTCTACATGCCGTGTATATTTAAATAGAATTCAGCCTCAAGGAGAAAACGCAAGGCTGCGGCAAGGACTCCGAGACTGTGTTTTATGCTTCCACGTAGGATCACTGGCACTACTACCACTACTATATCTACTAACACGAATGAGAAAGGTTCTGGTGGTTAGTCGTTTCCCTCTGTTTTTTTTTTCTTCTTTCTATAGGTGTAGTGTAGTGTTAGTAGCTACCGCGTGCTCGAGTACGTTTAATAAAACTTGTTTCTATATAGTGTATTATAAAGATTGATCCAAACTAATACCTGTTTCTAACTGACACGTGAAATTGGAACGTGTAAGTGTTCTAAAATAATTCAACGTGAACTATAAGAAAATGTGTTCAATTGAACATGCAATCAGATTTACTTATTCGTAATCGAATACTTTCCTCGTAACAGGATGTAAAGAATGCAGTCGACAGATGGTTTCATCGTATAATGAGGTCGCTCATTTATCGTGAACTGATTTAAGACACTCAAACCGATACTTTGTATCTTGTCGAGAACTCGAGTCCGAGTTCGGTAGAACGCATTTAAGTTAAATGCAAAAGATTTATTCTCGTGGAATGTTAATTAAAGGAAGACTGCTTGAGGATTACGTTATACTAATTAATGTAAAAAGAAAAAGTCAAGAGAATGCAAACGATGTAAAAAGTCTGTAAAAAGACATTGAAAGTTTATCAATTGACTGAATAATTGGCTGACTTACATACATATTATACGTATGAATCATAAGTTAGGATCGTTTAAAAATTTCTAAGAAATCATTGATCTTTATAAGAAAAATCTTACAAATTGGTGTTGTGATAAATGGGCTATTATAAATGAAATTCAATTTAGAATGATTATTAAAAAAGCAAAGAAAAGAAAAAAAATAAGAAAGAAAAGATCACATAACAGTAGAGGGAGTAGAAATGCGAGCGTGCATGCGTGTCCCAACGATTAGGGTTGGCATACGGTACGTATTAGTAACGTAATCAAATCACATGGACCCTCGGAGTTTGCGTATATATATATATATATATATATACAAGAGCGAAAATCTCCGAGTAAGTGAGAGCGTCTGCCTTTCAGGAAGGGTGGAACTCCGCAAGCGGATAACGTTGACGTAGAATAGTATGCAGGAGGAACCGTACCTACTTTCTTTCAAGCATCACCGTTTCTCCCTATTCGTTCTTTACGGCCCTATATAGTATATTGCCCTCCTGTATACGGTAGTTGATTCATCTGTTTACTTTTTATTATCTCAACGCCACCAGAAAGTATTCGATGTCGTTCAGGGGGTGCCGATAATCAATTTACAATGCCGAAATTCAAACTGTCCGAACGAATCGAAAGATGAACAAATTATTCTTATCAAAATTCATATTTTCAAGTATTTCAATGTTTTAAGAAGTCTAATAAAAAAAAAAGGAAATAATATTATTTATACTACGTATTTCATGTATATATATATATATATATATATATGTATATATAATCTTTATATACAATAAACGAAAAGGCTATTTTTACGTTCTTAACGAGGTCAGCTATGATCGATCGATTGGTTGGCTTGGAATAGTAGTAAATTGTTGCTTAGAACAAAATCGTTGAGACTAACTGTTTATAACATTGTCGATAAAACTATAAAGTCACTTTTATGTATATCCACACAACTAATATACATAAATCGTTATAATTATAACGGTATACTAAGATATTTTCAATTCCAAATGATATTTATGATTTTTTCTTTATAAAAAAACTCGATAACAACTATCATTTAACTCGATTAGAAGTTTACAAATAATAATAACAACAACGTAGATTTGACGTTGTTTATTTTTAATATATGAATTTTGAAACATTTATCATCCTAATCGGGAAATATCACACTTACGAGAATTTGACACGAGAAAGAACAAGTTTAGCTCGCAGTATGCTCCGTAAATACTGCTTAACACGATACGCCGCTGTTCGACGGGTTGCTCTGACTACGGCGTCACAATTCCTCTTGCACCCTCTTTCTTTTCGTACGTCCTTACAACGCGTCGTATTGTAACGTTGTACAACTACCACCACCACCACCACCAGTACTACTACTACCACCCCCACCTCGTACACAATCATCGGCGCATAGTGTTCTAGGCAACTTGTCTTTTTCCAATACGCATGCGCTCACGTATTCGCGGTATGGTAGATATATAATACGTTCGTTCAACACACACGTTATTCACGCAACTATTCCATCACTTTTCCGCCCCCTCACTCTCACTCTTTCTCTTTTTTTCTTTCTTTCTTTCTTTCTTTTCCTCTTTTTACATAGGTTTATACACGATCGTATTGTAAAATCGATCCAGTTACCTGCCTTTCTTTCTTTCCAAACCTTAAACCCCCTCCTCAAGACAATCTATTTCCACCTTATCGCGTGATAATAGCAAATCAATGATATTGGAAATATTATTCTTTTCTTTTCTTTTTTTTTTTAATAAAGATCATTCTTTGTATTACTATACAAATAATATTTTATTTTTAAATGAATAATATTCGATCAATTTAGATCTAATGTAATATAACCAAATTTTTGGATGATTAATTTTGCTCGATTACGAACAGATAAGATTTGATAATTTATTTTTTGTTTTTTTTTTTATTTCTGTACATTTCCAGAAATGATACATTTCGTTTCATAGTATGAAAACACTGCTTTGATATCTATCGATCAAATGCGAAACACTCAAAGGTGGCTTCCGTGTCTGACGAAGTGCTTTTATTTCTGAGAATGACTTCATCACACTCTCTTTGACGTACTTATATCGTATTAAAAATATATCGATCGTTTTATAATACGTCATAGACCGACCTAGAATTTATTCTAACAAGGATTCGATGCGATCATTCCTCCTCCCAATTTTTTAAAATTTGCTACACTTGTAATAGTCTATGAAAAGATGTCTCATTGTGTCTTTAAACTTAATAAAAATTTCATTTGTAATTATTTGATCGAATTATCATAGTTCCTTCCTTCACAGCTTCTGAAGAAAGATTCGAAGGCGAAGGCGCAGTATCGTGAAAGCAACCCTCCTCCTTGTTCATCCCTAAAAACAGGTCGATACTGCATGCGCGCTCATTCGTTGTTGAGGCGTGCGTTGAGATGAACCTCTTCTATTTTGATGATGCTGTCATATAAAATCTTTCCACGAGTATTATGTGAATACGAAAGATAATTCAAAATTGTTACGTTCATTTATCAATAATTACTTGTGCAGTGATGTAATCGATTCATCGTCATTTTCTTATGAATGAATTTTGTGTTTTGTTGTTGTTATTTTCCTAACGATACTGAGATTTACGTTGATAAATTTTATGTGAAATATACAACAAATAACTAATAAATTAATTAGAAAAAAGATTCGCAATGGGGACGAAATTAGCAGCGTGTGCGTATTATTTGTTCGTTTAAGTATCTCTATAATGAATATTTTTTTTCTGTTTTTTTTTTTTTCTATTTAGAATAATTATAATTAATAATATGTTTCTTTATATAGATACTTTAAAATTAACCAATTTAAATGAATATTATCAAAAACTTCTTCACGGTAATCAACCACTTCCATCTGGCATTGACATGGCAAATACCGTCAAACATTTATCCCAAACTTTGTTGTGTACGTAATCGGCCATTTAATTTTACTATCATATATTATTATTTTATTGATAAATAATATATTATTAATATTAATTGTAGCTGTCTTAAAAGAAGTCAGAGAAGCACCATTGGAAATGATTAAATCCCAAAAATTTGATTCCGAGCGCATGGTTCTTTACCCTAATTTAGATTACAAACAATTATACAATGCTTTAACTCAGCTGATGGATGTTATTCCAATGATCCATATTGGTTTACAAGGTACGTTCATTTTTTTATATTTATTATACAAATTAAAGTTCAATTTTAATCATTATTTATAAAAACATTACGCCTATAGAGATGCAACCCTCCAGACACATATGAAAATGTTGCTTGCAAGCGCCATCTGTTGGGACGGAATTTTTTTGCAGTCCAAACTGTTCATACACGTATGTATTACGGGTTGCCTATCTTTCGGGCAGAAACAAAATTCCGTCCCAACAGGTGGCGCTCGTAAGCAACATTTTCAAAGTGTGTCTGGAGGGTTGCATTCCTACAGGCGCGCATCTTTTTTAATTATTAAATACATTATTACGAAAAAAGTATAAATAATATTTTTAAATCATTGAAAGATCATAATACAGATATACTAAAATGTTTTTTACATATTTGTGTAAAATTGCAACAGGAAAAAGTTTCGACAATTATGAAATAATTTATAAAATATATATAATAAATATAAATACAATTAATATTATTAATAATATATAAATTAATAAAACATAAAATATAATTTATGTAATATATACAATATATATATATATAACTTGAGACAAAATGTCATACTAATAATTTTTGTTTTTTTAATTTTGTAGCTTTTGGACAAGCTTTGTTACAATGTTTGGCATGTCTCTTACCATTTCTCGAGCATGATCTGATCGACAATATGCCTTATTTAGCTGCAAGTTCTATTTCTGTTCTACCAATGGAACTTCATCAAGATATCGTTAATTATTTATGCTTTTATATTTTACCATTTACAATTAGTAAGTATTTTCAATTGATTATATTATCAATGAAATGTAACACATTAAATTCAAACATTTATGAGTAATATATTCTTTTTTCAATGTGTTAGCAAGAAAAACCGAAGATGGTAATGAAAATTCTGCAAGTCAATCAATAGCGGCAGTAATAATGATGATTTTTCAATATTCCACTAATCCAGGTGTTCTTTCTTATTATCACAATTATTGAAACCTTTAAAATAAGATAAAAATAAATCAACACACACACACACATGAGAGATACATTTGTCGTATGATTTTAGCACACCATTGTCAATTATTAGAATGTTTAATGACGTTGAAGCCAGGAGTAGTTAAAGACATATTATGTGTGATAGCTTATGGCACTGCTCCAGCAAGAGCATCAGCTGCTAAATTATTGTTTTATTATTGGCCATCGTTCAATCCTAATTTATTCGATCGTCGTGCAGTTTTAGTTAAATTTGCAAGTAAGTTTTGATTATTCTCTTTCTCTCTCTATACGTTATCGGTTATATTAACACTTTAATGGCCGCTCAGATAACATGTGTGTCATAGTCAAAACATTAACCGTTATTTTATTTATAACTTTATATATATATATATATATATATATTTAAAATTATATATAAAATTAATGTTCTTGTTAAACTGTTGCTTTTTGTTATATGTTAATTTTTGTCGTGAATGACAATAAAGTGTTTTTTTTTTTAAATTAATTCTTGAAAAATATTACCGAGCCCCTGACGACGTTTGACTGCGTACACATGCGGCCATTAAAGTGTTAATTATGTGATCAGTAAAAAAAATGTAAAAAATAATAATTTTACAGATGATCTATCACCGTTTGTTTGTCAAAGAGATTCTTGTCCAAATGCTGGCAATGCGGAAGCAGGAAAGGTTTGTTATGATCATAAAATTTCGATAACATTCGCTACGGAATCACCACCACCACTTTATCTTTGTATCGAATGTGCCAATGAAATTCATCGTGAACATCCTAATCAAATGTTTTACGATATCTTACATCCTATGCAACAAGTGTCAATGGTTTGTGAAAACAAGGTAAGAATTATGTACTTTTTTTTTTCTAAATAATTTAAATGCATACACATGTATATTCATATGTTACATATGCATGTATATGCATTGTAATTTATTGTATTAAGATATTTGATATATAAGAAAAAAAAAATGTGTAAACGTTTATTAAGAATTGCAGGGCATCGGATAAATCGGCTATCAGCGTTTGCTTTTCAACGGAATGTGCGAGTTATAATGGAAATCATCCGATACGTTATTGTCAGCAATGTCACAACATTCGACATAATAATCGTCGTGGTGGTGATCACATTTATCACATGGCTTTGCCACATATCTCTCAACTCGATGCACAAACCCGAACTTATTTGGTACAAGCTATCGTCAGGTGAGCCTGATTTTGTTTTCGATTTATCAAATTTCTCTCACGAACGATCACGTATTATATCGTTTTCTCGTTTACAAATGACGAATGACAAAAAAAAAGGAGAAGAAAGTTATTGAAAAAAAAAAGAAAAGAAATTATTCGTTTTGTACGAACGTTGGAAAGTTATAACGTGATAAAAAAAAAAAATAAATAAATAAATAAAACGTCGTGGTTTAAACTCGTAAATGGTAATCACACAATTTTCATTTTAAATATAAAATAGAATAAAATAAAAATATATATATAAAAAGTGTGATCGCATAATATTAAAATCGTATCTTTGTTTCTATCTTTTTCTCTGTTTTTTTTTTTTTTTTTTTTTAATATCGCTTTCTAAATCTCGTTTCAAATCGAATAACGTCGTTTAAAGATATTATTACATGTTTTTTTTT